TAACATGTGGGGGTCCACCGTGCATCGGTTTCGGCCATGTATTCAATGAGTTCCTTGTTCAGCTCATCGCACGCCATCGAGAATGGCCAGCTGGGTTAGATACGGTGTGGGGAGCACAGCGGAAGGCAAGCAGTGTCTACGTTCGCGCGGTTGCAGTCGATTGGTTAGTCTGCGATGGTGCATCGACTCTGAATCTTCCACTTACCCTGTGAATCGGAATCTGGGATCTGTTGTAACTTGCTCTTGATGAGGACCACTATCTTGATTCATCGCGCCGCTCTAGAGCATATTTAGTTCATTCACGGGCAGGAGAGCTCAGATTGAAAGTACCACTCACTTTGAGCGGCTTGAGCCTCAGGCCGGCCGCAAATGTCGAGGAACATTGTGAACGTTTCTTGACGTATTGCTAGTATCCGCGAGCCCGTACTAGACTGAGAGTCAGATCATGATCTGATGGATCGACATGACATCAATAGCTTGCTTACCATGGACACCGAATTGACCTCCCTTCCAAGACGTCGTTGCTTGAAAAACGACATGGAATCCTGAGGCAAACACTCAGTATTCATATGGGAGAGTAAACCTACCGTGACCTAACCTGCATCGCATTGGCATTGCATCGCTGACGACAGCCTTCGCCGACTATCAGTCGAAGCGCGCCGCTTGCGTCCAAGTGCACGACCGTAAATTAGTCCGTGCTTCGGTGACTTGTTATTTATATTATAACTCACCCTTCTCCCACATCAGCTATCGATTAGACCCTGTAGACATTATCCTCGGAGCATCCTGGTGAGCGTGATGATTCAACTGCGACTCGAGCTTATCCTAGTTATCAACCCTATTTACCTTGGACTAATGGCGGCTGATCATAGGCAACAATCAGCTTCCAGGTCCAGAAATTCTGGCTTGGACAGCACTAGAAATTTATTGAAAAAGGGAAAGAATGAGCTAATGATGGGAGTGAGCAAGCGACGCTGCAACGTACCACAGGCGCCTCAATAAACGCGATCACGTGATCGAGTTCTCCGTACTTGACGTTTGCCTCCCTTGAAACGCTGTTCAGCGCTGTCCTCGACTTCTTACTGATGCTCGACTCTATGTCAGTATCTGGCCCAGAACAAGCTTGGTAAGAGGAAAGTACTCATCTATACTCGCCGAGGTGATTGCATCAGGGACTGCAGAGGCATGCATGAAGTTTGAACACCGTGACAAGCTAGTCGTGTTGGCTTGGCTGCCATGGTCGTCGACGTTCAGCCCAGGTGAGTGGCATTGACAATGATGGTTGACAGGCGGAACAGTAGAGATGCAAAGATTGCCACATTTAGAAATAGACCACACCATGAGGGAGGTAGAGAGCGCAGAGGAGCAAACGGCAGGGGTTTTGGGAGAACAGGTGCAGATGAGTGTGCGTGCGTGTTGGTCGAATGGTCAAATACCGATGGAGCGAGGACCGGGTTGCCCTTCTTCTTGCCCCTTCACATCCCGATGTGTGCGACCAGGACCCCAAAAGACTGTGGCCACCAAGATCATCGAAGATCACGATGCATCGATCTTACGGCCACTATTGATCCAGATCACCTGGACTCCGCGTTGTTTTAATTTACGTAGATCTAGCCATGCCTCATGGTGTCCATTGTTCGGTGAAGTTGTGGGTGTCATCAAGATGAAACTGGAAGACCCGAACTGTGTATTCCACCAATGCGCTGGCCTGCAAGGTTTTCGACGGTACACTAATCGCATCGCATTCTCTTTGAGATGATATGTACTGCTCTGCTCTGATGGATGCACTGATTCTGACGGGATTTCAGGGAGCCAGCAGCACCAACGAAAGCCCGCGAAACTTCTCGTGGATCTCCGTGTCTCGTTCGCGCAGGGGCCCACCATACCTCATTACAAGTGTGAGATATTGTCATGCCTGCACTTCCATGGGGCTAGACATGGAAGTTCATGTAAGCGGACGGCCTGGTAAGTTCCGGATATTCTCATGCCCTGTTGTGCAATTTCACTGGTCAACGCAGAAGGGTGCTCTGGGTGTATTCCTCCAGAACCAGAGCCAAACAACACTGAAATGGTTGAAATTTATATCACGCTGAGACATACCAAAATACTCCAAGCAGTTCTTCTTGTGGACATCAAAAATGCAGAGAAATCGCACAAAGTTTGAAGGTGCAGTCCCAGGGACCCCGGGTCGGTTGGTATTTTCAGGATGTGTCCGAACTGCATTACGTTCACGAGACGTGTCGATTAGCTGATATCTTAGTAACATCGCGGAGCTCCTGATGCCTGTTTGGTATCAAGACTGCGCACGGCATGCAATATGGGCTTCGAAGAACGAAGGATGCAATCCATGTCCATGCGGCTCTGCACCGTGCTTGTGGGCCGAGACTTTGACGAAGCACGTTCCGACCTTCTTCGCTATGCACGCGTATGTTCCGAGACATCAGATGAGCTCTCTGGTCGTTTTCTCGCAGCTGAGCCCATTTAGCAAAGCACTCACCGGCGATGAGAAGCATGGCGGCTCTAGCGGCATAGTCAAGTCCGGATTCTGCATTGTCAGACTTGTGTAATAGATGGATCCGTGAAGGCCAGTCAGAGTATACTTTTGCAAATCATGCAAAGGACGACAATGCTGTACATGAAATTCATAAGGTCTGTCCACTGTCCCTTTCTTAGAATAATCAACTTGAGTCAGACGTTCCACGCAGACAGACTCGCCGTACAGGATTTGGGAAGCGTAGAAGGACGTCCCCAGTCTGAGCATCCAGCGGACAGCTTGCGGCTGAATGATGACTCTTTTCAGCCAGGCGTGAGTCCCAAGAACCGTTCGTACAGATATTCTAGCCCGTCCGGCACACCCAGCCCCATAGCTTCTCCAATATTATGACGGCCGAGCCACAAGAGGGACCCTCGCATCCTCATCTTCCGTCGACATCATTCCTTCCATCGCGGCCAGGCGCCGTCCATCTTCTCATCCTTCTCAGAAGTCCGGACGCAGCGCAATCAGAAAGGTAGTGCTTTACTTAGCTTGCGTGCGAGTCACAGACTCTGGCCTGGGAATGCGAGGGAGGTCCGGTCCCCGTGGACACTTTCGATGCACGGCTACCGCGAATCGCAGCATCGCGCTCACGGGGCTGAGCCCCGTCGCCTATCGCGCACTCGCGTCGCTCCGAAGCTGGCACTGGTGCATCGTCTAACTGAGACAACAACGCGCGCATCGCCGTCTGCCCGGGTTCGCGAGAGCGGCCATTCGGCCTTCTTCGAGTCGAGCGCGCGCAAACGTCGTCCTCGCATGACGCGCCCGTCGCGTTGGTCCCCACCCCCGCTGTTCTGCCGGGTCGAACGTCGCGCGCAGAATCCCATGAACGGCATCTGTACCGCGAGCGACGCACGCAGGCTCGCCCTCCTCTCACTCAACTATACCGCGCCCACCGCGCATCGGTCGGTCCTGTCAGTAGGGCCTCCACGCTCCCCCCGAGTCCGCATTTCATGCGCCGGGCGTCCGACACCGTTTGCATGCAGTCCCGTCAACCGACGGGCTACGCCCCTCGCGGATCGCCATCCGTACCTTCCACAAGCACCCCAAGGCCCGCATCTGACCGTCACACCAGATAGATCCCGGATCGCCATGCAGTGTATTCACCATGTACAGTAGTTGTGTAACACAATAAGAAATCCAAAGGAAATGCAAAGCACCCGGGCCGCGCACACGCGAGCCGCTTCGCCCACCACACGTCGAGAACGGCCATCTGTCCGCGGGACGAGGCGCAACACCGCACGTTCGAACCTCGACGGGAGTGCGCTTCTATCGCATGCGTGAACTGAGAACGCATAATGCCGTGAGAGCTTTGGAGAGGATGCTCTGCTCACCCCGATGACTCGGACTTCCTCTGTAAGCATGACTCGTACATGACACGCGAAGCAACGAACCTGACGCATTCGCGCCGCAGAACGTCTGCTCTGGGCCATCGCGGCACGTCTCGAGCTTGGAAGCCCGTGTTCGTGCGGATCGTCCCCTGCGACGTTCGGATCTTCCCTGCATCGCGTCGAGGCCTCGATGCCTCGAAGTGCTTGCGAGAGCACCGTCTGATTGTCAGCGCGTACCCCGCCGCCGCATGGAGGTGCGTTATCGTCACAGGACGATGACGGGCGCGAGACGTGGCGCATCGTTATCGAAGAACAGGTCGTCGTCCACGTTCCACACAGAGATGGACGGACCCGGCCTGCCCAGTCGCAATGCAAGTGCACGCGTCTCATCGTCTGTTTTGTGAACGAGATGGGTGTGAACTTACCGATTTTATATTCCCACATACGCGGCCCAGTCCTCTGCTTGTCCTCGCACATCGTTCCGTACGACCTAGCGGCGCTGCAGGTCTTGCGCGGCGCCCTGCGATCTCGTTTGATGCTCGAGCGTGAGTTGACAGGCGTCAGTCGAGCCCGCGTGCGCGCGTTGGCAGAGCAGTCGATGCGTTTGACGGCGCGGATGCACGAATGGAAGGCCGAGACAGTCTCGCGCCTGTGGAGGCGAGATACGATGGTGTGAGCCGCAAGGTAAGATGGAGGGGTACCGACGCTATGGTGAGTGGACGCCGCGCGTCGCGGACGAAGGCCGAGCAGCACGCGTGTCGTCGTTTCTGTGTGTCAAGCGCACAAGAGCCATGCCGGCTGCGGGCGTCGTGCTTCAACGCAGCCCGCTCCGATGTTCTCGATCACGCTGTCGGTCGTGACCGCAGAGCGTTGAGCGACCGTTTCATGGTCAACGCGGCGCATCGCATTGCTACGTCGTCGCTCACGTTCCGAGCGGAGGCGGACGGGCTCAGTCTGCCGGATGCATGCGAGCGCGCGTGTTGGCGTCGCTTCTCACGAGATGCGTGAAAACTGACTGGTTTCGCATTCTCACATACGCGGCCCAGTGCTCTGTTATCCTCGCTCGTCGTTCCGTGTGCCGCGTACGGCGATGTGGGCGACCCAGCGGCCTCTTTTGATGCTCCAACGCACGAAGGCCATGCCGAGTGCGAGTGTTGCGCTTCAACGCAGGCCGCTCCCATATTGTCGTCGATTGCAAACCGAACGCAGAGCGACCGTTTCATGCTTGTCGTCGCCGACGTTCCGGGCAGAGGCGGACGCGCACAGTCTGTCAGACGCAATGCAGCGCATCGCGTCTGTGAAACGAGATGGGCGCAAACTCACTGGCTTCACATTCGCGTATCCAGCGCTATCGCACACGGAGACGTGGGCAGTCTCGTCTTTCAGGGGGCCTAGCAGTCTCGACGGAGTCAACAGTGCGAGTAGTAGACGCGGCGTCGGGGGAAGTGAGCGCAGTGCATCGGCGTAGATGACGGCGTCGGCGAGTGCAGAGATGCGAGGATGGCCGACCGCGGTGGAGCAAGTGGCGGTTCTCAAGCGCCGCAAGTCTACCCTCGTCAGCTCCTCCGTCTCCTCCTCACGTCAAGTTGAAGCTCGGATTGAGTCGGCGGGCCAGAGGGACCAGACGTCGGCGAGGAGCGCACGTTCGGAGAGCAATGTTCATTGTTAGCCTGTGTTGGCAGCTCTTCTCTGGGATGCTAGACGTGGTTCTGGCGATAGTCGTGGTGTGTAGTCGTGCTAGCGTGCGATCCTCTGATTGAGGTTGCTATCCGTTTGATGGCGGATGGGAGTAAGCGGCTGGGTGAAGAGAATCCGAAAGGAGGAAGTCAAGTCTGGGACAATTTGTGGCGTGTAATGCGTGGCGCGTACAGCAGACCTCCGCACCAGAAAGCTAGGTGATGATGATATCCGAGCAGCATGGCAGATGAAGGAGTGGCACGCTCGAGGTGATAGCTCACAGCAGGATTCGCGGCCCGGCATCGGATTTGCAGTGTGCAACCCGAGCAGGTCGGAACAAGCACCGGTGGGAGACAGCAACGAGCGAGAGAGCCGAATAACGCATGATGCATCCAGTGAGGCACGGGCACGGCGGATCGCGAGCGGTCTGCGGATGGACAGGGCTGCCTAGAGAGCGACGTAACCATGGCCCGCAAGTGCCTGGCGGCGAATATCGAGAGGGTGCAGGGGCTGAATCGCGAGTCGGCAGAGGCACCGAGGCAGGCAGCGGCAGGCGTTGGCCGAGCAAGCGGGATGGACGTTAGCGATGGACATGCCAGTGCAGCACGACGTTGTAGACGGCGTGCGAAGTGTGGCCCGACGCCGGCCGGCATCTGCACTCGAGGAAGCCGACGACGGGCGCAGAACGCGGGGCCACCGTGCCCGGGATCAAAACCGGCGGCGAGGGGGAAATGGGAATTGCCGGATATGGAAGCGCACACTGCTGGCTTCTCGCGCTAACACGCTTGCCATGCGCCCCTCCGAGCCAGTCCTTCTTCCCCGTCCGCCGTCTCTCTTTCCTCCTCTCTTCCCCCCTATCCCCCTTCTAATCCATTCCCCTCTCCGACGCCTGGACGCGCCGACACAGCGAGCTCCGCGGCCGTTGCATCGACCACCGCCCACACGCTCAAACCTGCACGGGCCCGGTAGAGCGCCTCGAGGCCGCTGAAAGACAATTGGCCTGCCCCTTCCGGACGCGCACCAGCGCCACTGCTCGTGGGTCTCTTTCTTTATTTCATTTCGCTTTCCGGCGCATGGCATGTGCGGTTATGAGTCTTCGCAAATGTCTCCGTTCCTCGCTTTCGAGTCTTCCCGCCGTTTAATCTACATAGCTTGCGTGCCTGGGGCTCCGCCCGTGCAACGTGCTAACTTCGCCCTCCTGCACGCAGCTACCTCACGCTCGCGCACACAGTCGCTCCCCAACGTCCCGCTCGCACATACCCTTGACGTCCGCATAATCATTGATCGCCTCAGCGCTCCCGAAGACGTCCTCTTCTTCGCTTGTCGGTCCCACATCTTGCACTGTATCTTCTCTGCTTTCCCCACAGTGTCCTTGTGCTTGCGGACGATCATCTCGTAAGTATCCTATCCTGTCCCCGGCTTCTTTTCTTGTGGGAAATTCCTGGGACTGCGTATGCGCTCAACCCGCTGACGTACGGGTGAAGTGTGTGGCGCGGATGGATGAGGTGTGCTATGTGTGCTCAGCGTACGATATCTCTCTTACGCCTAAGCCTCCGCTCGCGTGACCCTACCCGCATATACGATACACTGGTTACGTGTACGCGCTCAACCCAGTGACGTGCGGGTGAAGGCTTGATATCTTTGACCTGATTCCGGTGTCAATACCGTCAACGGGTCAAGGCATGACTTGTGCGTGATCATTGACGAGGGAGCCGTCCCCTGCTATTCGTCGGTGAAGCGTGAAATCTCCTATTAGGACATCACTCCGGGCTTGTGAGTGCGATCATGCACAGATCATGGCTCGACCCCTTGGGAGATCGATGGTCAAAGTGGGTCGACCCCAGTCATCCGGTGGTTATGGGATGATAACCGGGGTTAAAGCCAACGTTGGTGGATGAGGAATATGGCGCGGATGGGGTGTGCTCTTTGTGTACTCAGCGTACGATCTCTCTTACCTTTGAGCCTGCGCTCGCGTCACCCTACCCGCATATATGATGCTCATCTGATGACCGACGTCCCCACAGGCTTGCGAATATTGCAGGTACACCTTAGCCTTGCTACGGAAGGACCTTCGTCTCGTAAGTATCCCATCCTGTCGCCGGCTTCTTTTCTTGTGGGAAATTCCTGGGACCGTTTACGCGCTCAACTCGCTGACGTGCGGGTGAAGGCTCAATATCTCTGACCTGATCCCGGTCAAGGACCAGGTCAAGACCAGGGTCAAGGGGTCAGAGCACGACTTGTGCGTGATCATTGGGCTATGCGTACCCAGTGTACGATATCTCTCTTACCTTTGGGCCTCCGCTCGCGTCACTCTTACCCGCATATATGATGCACATCTGACGATCGACGTCCCCACAGGCTTGCGAATATTGCAGGTATACCTGAGCCTTGCTACGGAAGGACTTTCGTCTTGTAAGTATCCATCCTGTCCCCGGCTTCCTTTCTTGTGGGGAATTCGGAGCAGGGGTCGAATGAACGGATCCGATTGCACTCTGGATCTGGTTATGCGTACGCGCTCATCCCGCTGACGGCGGGTGAAGTGTGTGGCGCGGATGGGGTGTGCCATGTGTACTCAGCGTGCGATATCTCTTTTACCTTTGAGCCTCCGATCGCGTCACCCTACCCGCATATATGATGCTCATCTGACGACCGACGTCTCCACAGGCTTGCGATATTGCAGGCATACCTTAGCCTTGCTACGGAAGGACCTTCGTCTCGTAAGTATCCCATCCTGTCGCCGACTTCTTTTCTTGTGGAGAATTCGGGGCAGGGTTCGAAGGAACGGGACCGATTTCAATCTGGATCTGGTTATGCGTACGCGCTGAACGCGATGACGTGCGGGTTGAGGATTAATATCTCTGACTCGATCCCGGTCAATGACCAAGATCAAGGAGTCAAAGCATGACTTGTGCGTGATCATTGGCGAGGGAGTCGTCCGCTGCTATCTGCCAGTTCAGCAGAGTCCCTCCACAGCATGAAACCTTTAAGCAGGACGTCACTCTAGGATGATCGCGCACAGATCATGGGTTGATCTCTTGGGAGGTCGATGGTCAAAGTGGCTCAACCCCAGTCATCCGTGGTTATCGGATGATAATCGAGGTCAAAGACAATGTTGATAGAGGGTTACGTAGCCCGGATCGGGTGTGTTTTTCGCGTACGATGCCTCTCTTACCCTTGTTCCCCCTCTCGCGTCACCGTACCTGCATATGATGCACATCTGACAACCGACGTCCCCACAGGCTCGCAAATATTGCAGGTATCCCGTCTTGGCTATAGAAGGACTCTTCTCGGCTAGCGAGACGTTCGTTTGAGGAGCTTGTCAGTTAGGTGGATCTATTCTCCACCCTGTGCAACCGTCTAGAATAGCAGGATAAAGTGCCTTGCTGGTGAGTTCTCTGTCTGATGTACTCGTCGTACACCATATCTGGCAGAGCGCATGCAATTAGCCGACGAGAGCCACCAATGATATCTCGGCAGCAATTCACTTTCACCCGAATTTCACTCGTTTTTAACGTGACGCACTGACCTCTCTTTCGATGGCATTCTTCAGCGCAGCCATTCGTCGGATTATTCTTGGTCCCCATTTCTTAGGCTCGATCGCCGATCATCAGTACGCTCCCTTGGCCATTCTGCATTGCCGGTACGCCTTTTTGAGCCCGCCGAATCTCTCCGCGCACTCAACGCAGCACACACGTCAGCCATGTCGTCCCCACCGTCCTCGTCGCACACGCATACACGTACCCAGTCCCGCTCTCTTCGCGAGAAGCGCGCCGGCGTCCCACTCCTGCTCTCTTCCTTCCCCGTGCCGCCGTCTCACATCCCTGCATCGTTCCCGCTCTCGCCGCTCAGCGCGAGCTCGTCCTCCTGCTACTTTACCCCGCTCACGACGCCCCTCAGCGCGAATACGAACATCCCCGCATCTGCATCCACATCCTCTACCGCGGCCCTCCTGCATGCCGCTCTCACCGCGCAGAACCCTCCACCGTGTGCCCCGCCTGTGCTACCCCTCCCGCCAGTACCCGGCCCATCGCCCCTCTCCGACCAGGAGACGGTCCTCTTCCTCTCCGCCGCACGCGCACGGCGAGTATCCAAGCTCTCTTCTGCGTCCTCGCGCAGGAGCTCGCTCGCGAGCAGCATACATAGCGCGAGCACGCCGGGGCTCTCGCCGTCAGCGAGCGTCACGCCCGCGGAAACGCGCTCGCTGCGGTCGTACTCGTCGAACGGAAGCCTGAAGATACCGGCGCCCAGATATGGAGGTCAGGAGAAGAGTGTGGGCGCGGAGGAGAGGATATGTGAGGAGGAGACGGAGGAGCTGACGAGGGTGGAGTTGGATGACATCCCGTCGTCGCATGCACATGACCGTCAGAGCGATGAAGAGGAAAACTCACTGGAGCTGAGCAGCCCACCGCTGCTGCGGCGTCTTCGACACTCGGTGCATGACTCGATCTCGGAAATCGACATGCGCGACCTGCCGCCGCTGCAGGAGGACGTGGACATCATTGAGCGCGTGCGCGTGCCGGCCGTTGAGGGCTTGCCGCACAGGAGGAGTCTTGGCCGCGCTTTAGGGTTCTCAGCTACACATGAGAGAAGTTCAAGTCAAGATAGCAGTGTCATCTGGCCGCCGCCCACGAGCAGATTTTCACTAACGCAGTTGGGATTCTCACCTACACATGAGAGAGGTTCAAGCCAAGGTAGCAGTGTCATCTGGCCGCCCACGAGTAGACCACTAGTGCAGCGAATCGACACGGACAAGGCCCTGCCACCGCTCCCGCCACCATCGCCGTCGCGGTCACCATCATCATCGCCATCTCCGACTCCTGCACCTGCACCTGCACCGGAAATGCGCGCCGAGAGTCCGGATATCAAGACGATCCTCGCAAGCACCCCGCGGCCGCGCCGGAAGTCCTCAGGCTCGTACATATCGACGCGCTCGTTGGAGCGCACCCGCTCAAGAGCCGGCGTTAGTGCGCCAGCCCTGCGAAGACATATGAGCGAGGGCGTCCCGGGGTCGCGGGGACGGCGGACATGGGGCGAGGATATGACGCGGCGCGGGAGCGAGCGAGGGCGCAGATCCCGCATGCCTGCGATGCCGCCGCTGCCGTTGCCGAGGGGCATGTCGGAGTTTGGGATGCTGGACGGTGAGAAGGGAGGGGGAGAAGGTAGTGGGAGCGAAGAGGAGGGACGGGCAAGTGGGAGCGATACGGATTCGAGTATTGATATCCATACGCCGTTGCCGTGAGTGTTGTTCTTTTCGCTGTCTGGGAGACCATGCTGATTGTGCGGCGGGGCGATGCTGTGCTGAAACGTATGTTGCATTGGTTTGTTTGGACGTTAGGAACCTCATGTTGCGCGATGGTCTGCTTTCGCCGAACTCGAAGCTGCTTCCGCATGCGTCGCCTGTTGGCCAGGTGGGCGCGGGTGAGCGGCCGGGGAGCCATTTGAGCGTCGCGTCGAGTGGTGAGTGCGCTGGTTGGGATGTTTAATGATGAGGCACTGATGGTGGCACGATTGTTCGTGCGTTGATAGTTGGCTCGATCATGACCAAATCTGGGTTGTACAAGGATGGGCGTGACACGGTGCAGAGAAGGCGCCGCCATAGGGACGGGAAGCTTTTGCGTGGTGGGATTGGGCTTACCACGGGGCTTGGATGGAGTGATAGGTGCGTGCTTGTGTTTCCGATCGCCGGCGCGTCCCTGGCTGATGCGAGCCGTACCTGATTTGCAGTGAAGACGAAGGCGCGCCATCGCCGCTTACTCACCAGATCTCTGCTGGACTGCTCAGGTCCAGCCCATCGTCATTGCGCTCGTCGCAGTCGCACCCGTCTTCGCGCGTCACGAGCTCTGCAAGTCTGGACACGCTTGAGGACGATTGGCACCATGTGGAGAGTGCGCGGTTGTCATTCCCGTTGGACTCTCCTTCGGAGCAGCGGAGCGCACGCATGTTGGCGTCGTCGCTAAACTCTATGCCGAGCCTGGGAAAGATGGGTGCTGCGCTGCGCTCGCCGCTGAAGTACGTCAACGAACGTGAGGAGGTGGGAGCACAGGCGTCGTCTTCGTCGTCTGTATCTGCGATACCTACTACTGCTGCTCGGCATACCCTGCCCAAGGCGCGTGTGGGGAAGGAGCCGGCATCTGAGGTGGACGAGACATCTGACTTTGGTCCGGCGATGCGTAGTCGGGTAGCGTCTGGTGGCGCGTCCTCGGTGCACGGCTCTCTGCGTACCCCATTCACTCCGAGTGTCAAGCCTTTACAAGTGCCCCGGCCGCTCAAGCTCCCGCAGGACCAGTCCCGCGTTCGTCGTCCGCAGGACGGCACTGGGCCGATCAGGTCGGTGCTCTCGACCGGAAGCGTTGGGAGCAGTAGTATCAGCAACAGCACGAGCAGCAGTGGCATTGTACGGCCCGCCGAACGCACGCGAATGCAGTCCCTTCCTCAGTACTCGAGTTCGCGGCACGGACATGTGCCCGTACGCCCGTCTGCGATTACTGACCCCGTCGTGCACACCGCTCCTCCTACGACATCGAGGTTCGGTGCAACGGCGAGCGCTGTTTCGTCGCCGGCGCAGAGGCCGCAGCCGCGCATCGGGACGGGCATGACGTATCGCACGTCGGGGAGCTCGGGTTTGCGTCCGACGATGATGCGGATGCCGAGCTCGACGCGCCTTGCGGCTGCTGCTGCGTCGCACAATGCAGATGTTGGCGTCGCGTTTTGATATAATCCTCGTTGCTCTATGATCGAGTTCTCCCATCGCCACCGTGCACTTCCTCCGTTAGCCGATGACCCTCTCCCTCCTACTCCACCGCTCCTTCGATCTTCCTCGCGGTTACCTCCTTTCAATCTTGTCTAGACAATCTATCTTCTTCCCGACCTCTTCAATGAGAACCCTCTCCCGTCTCAAACACGGTAACTGGCTATTTTCGACGCTCGTTGCTTGCCGCAAGATCGCCCGCCTCTCCTTTGCCGCTACGGAGGTTCTGTCACATATACATATACTCACATACCAGTCGCATTTTACTGCAGGGGTCCCTTTTTTTTGGTCCCGTGTCCGCATTCACGTTCATCGTTCATGATTCTGTTGCATGTGCATTTGTGCCACTACCAAAGTTGTATACCCCACCCGCCTCGGTTACGTACGCGTCCGATGTCGGCCAGTTTAAGGTTCGCGGATGGATGGAGGATGGATTGGAATTTACAGTATGTTATATGGTCATGAAAGTCTTATAGCCGTTGGAGGTGCGTGCGCACGTGCTGTTCGGTTGCAGTAACTTGTAATCTACAAGCGTACAATGTCGCCGGCACGGTCCGCAGCGTAGCCAATTATTCACGTAACAATTACATTGCGCGATCATACAGGCGGGCCTCGATGAGAAGGACAACTCGATCGGCTGGTAGGTCCTTACCTCGGAAACATACTTGTGAGTTCAGTAGCTGAAATAATGCCATGTTGTTACGAGGCAGTATGCTGAGTTGCGTGCAGGCCACCAGCTGAGCGGGATGCAAGATAAAAGCTAAAGACAAGTGGAAGGATGACGCGTGAGAGCGAACACTAATAGAAGACCTGTGGCCAGCTCGCGTCGAAGCGGTCTTCGAGGCTCATGTCAGTGGTTCGTGTCTTCGCCGTGCATTCATCGAAACGCGAGGCGATCGTTGGTAAATCCGATAAATATCTGATGCACGGAGGCACCCACGCATACCTCGCATTCATCTCGCCCTCATCAGTAGTGATTCCATCGTACCCACCGCGCACTCTTGAGCACGTATCCGTTGTGTTCATCAACCCAGGAGAATGCAGAGAGACAAGGACTTCTGGTCGCCAGATGGCAACATCATACTCAAAGTGGATAATGTTGGATTTTGAATCGACAAGGAAATTCTCGCGCGGTGCTCGCCGATGTTTCGCATCTTGTTCGCTTCACTGCGGCCGGGGATGGTCGAGGTGATGGATGGGTGTCCTGTCCTCCCGCTCTACGACTTTCCCGGTGATTTTCGCGTTCTGCTGCGTGTGCTTCGCAAGGGTTTAAAGTATGCACAAAAATGCTCGATCTTCGAGTCACTTCAGCACTCACGCGCATCTTGAATAGTTTCTATGCGGACAAGCAGTTGCCTTTCGGTGCTGTGGCATCGCTCGTTCGTCTAGGCAACAAATACGGGATAGAGGATGTGAAAAAGGATGGTATCAGGCGGCTCAAATCCTGCTTCTGCACGGATCTTCAGGCGTTCATGGACACCGCATATGGGTCTAACGCTCCTGGCAATCCTCGTGGCAGTTTTCTTATGAGCTACAAATTAACCGATGCCATGATCGCCATCAATCTCGCGCGCCTCACGGGAGAGCATTCCATGCTGCCCACTGCCGTGTACATCTGTGCTGTGAATCTGGACGAAAATACCATGCGCAACGGTGTCCCTTGGGAGGACTGCTCGCTTGCACTGGATCGGCTCGAGGCTGAAGCCTGAGACGTCCAGAGGTGATTTGCTGGGTGCATTCATTTGACAGATCCTTTAAAAGCCAACTTTGCGGCGTTGGGATGCTCTTTCTTTTTCCCCTTCCCTTCTGGCTTCTCTCTCCCCACTCGCCTGCCTTATCCTCGCATCAGTCCCATACACACATCACGCAAAATCAGCAGTGCACATGGCACCAGAAAGAAGCATTGTCTGCATGAGTGTCATTTCCATTGCTATCGAATGTAGGCCATGATGGACTCGATGCGTCCATGAATGGGTAGGGTGGGTCGTTTTCATCAGTTCAAAAGGGTTTTTTTAAAAATATTATCTAGCATGAGAGTTATACACGTGGCTGTGTGCAGAACATATGGGGTTTCTCATCATAAGCAGCAAACCTTAGTACTTACTCTTGGAATTTCCCGGGCCGGACACCGTGGTAGCAGTCCGCGCCCCATCCCAGTTCCCCAGTGACCTCGTTAGAGTGCATAATGAGTTGTGTAAATGGCTGAGGGAACTGGCTACCTAGGTATGTACTTTATACTACCTTCTGCCCCTGTCTGGGCCCATGCCTTTCCGACCATTCTGTCTCCAGGTACCGCTTCTGACGTGTTTCACCACGGCACAACATTTGTGCTCGGCACGCCAAGCGCATACCCAAGTGCATTCCGCACTTCACTTCCAACACTTACATGAAACAGAAAGATTGATCGCAGTGCTTATCACGGTAACACAATCGCTTTGTTCATCTTGACATCTGGATTGTGACTGAGAACCGTGGTTTCGCTTACGTACATGGTATGCAGTTTCAACTTGTATTTATGACGAATTGAGCACGACGTTGACGAGGATGTGGACACAACCATTATAATGAAGGTCACAAGGCATGCCACATTTTGCTTAACGGTCATGGTGGAGATGGCTGCGCTGCTGCATTTACTTTTCTCGCGTGCTTCGCCAGGACATCCATGAACAGTGCACTTAGGAACGTCATGGAAAAGGTGATACATCGACGTTTACTGTTGACATGCAGGCAAAAATAGTATTTAATCGATCACTGCTAACGACAGCGGTGATGCCTTGGATGACTGCAGTGGCAATTGAGCTGAAGTACAGTTCACCCTGCGATATAATGGTTGTGGCGCTGGCTCCACCATCTCGCAGGTATGGAATTGAGGGCATGGAAGATGTTCTTGTGTCCAGCTTTTGGAAGACCTTCAAACATTATGAGCATGCTGATGGATCTAATGGTGGTGGCAGTGCCCAATGAGCTACATGTCCTTCAACGGAATCACAGCTGTTAATATCGCATGCTCAACCAAACAGATGCCTCGAATGACTTCGATCGTCAGCAAGCTGAAGTTCAGCCCACTCTGTATTGTCCGAGGGTGTAGGTTTACGAGGGCTGTAAGACACGTAGGAGCAAGTGACTCAGCCTCGATGTATGATGCGAGTGCTATATAAATACCTGTAAGACACGTAGGAACGAGTGACTACAGAGTATGAGTAAAAAGTATGTAAGGAATCCAGTAGGTGCTTATCTCAGCCTCGATGTATGATGCGAGTGCTGAGGTAGCAGGAAAAGATCGAGCACGCTTGTGGCTACATGATTACATAAGCAAACACGTGCGGAACGTCAAAGTCCGTGTCCCATTGGACATAAAGTCTGTATGACTTCCAACACACCCACTCAGTGGGAATGCGGACCTACTTTTAGAACACTAACTGAATCCTTCATGCTGCTTGTGCTGTGCGTGACCGACGGTCTTTGAAACATACTGTGGCTTGGACGGATTGGATTGTAAGTGCCTGTGGCATAGGGTTTCTTGAGTCTATCTGGGCAGATAGAACCCGGGCTGCTGTACGCTGTTTGCACTATGTGACTTTGCCTGGATCATGCTTGATTGCGGTGCATGGACGGTCGTACTCGTCGTTGAGTGTGGCCTTAACGAACGGGGTTGTCGCTAATTTCCGTTGATCTGCATCTGACGTTGATTCTCCGAGGTTCTTCGTCAACTGAGTGACCCATAGCGCCCGCACGAGTCTTGTCGCATTCGACTGCGCCCACTTGACGCGCGTTCTTTCCTCCTCTCTCTGGCTGTTCCCTTTCGCTTCTCGCTCTCTCCTGGACTTCTGGGGTCTCTATTCTCAGCTTTGTCTTGGCTTCAAAGTCTCCTAGGACTGTCTTGGGCTTGTATGTGCTGACAGAAAGCCGCGGGTCATCATCGCAAATTGGCACTTGGCACGCACATGTCGATTGATGGACATGGCTCTTTGGAGCCTCTGGGGCAGGAGTAGGAGTGATCAAGCATTGAGTCCGAGTGTGAGAGAGGGATGTTGCGACCTTTGAGATGACAGGTGAGTCCTCCTTCTCATTTTCGCACTGGGGTGAAGGAGCAGGTGAGGGGTTTGACGCGGTCTGGCGTGGCAACACAGCGTGATGGCTGGATGAGGGTACTGTGTTGCCCTCGTTGTCTTTGTCATTGCTGCTGTTGTTGTCACTATCACCGGTGGATGTGCTACTGGGTGCATCAAGTGGTGGCAGTGTTGGGTCATGTTCAGCGGCTACGATCGTGATACGAGCTGCTCGTCGTTCGTGAGGCCTGTGAGGAGTGCCGGCAGGTGAGTTCAGCGGTTTGCCCTGCACTTCATGTTGAAGTTCAGAGTCGATCACCATGCGTGTCTGCCATGTATGGACGCCCTCATCGGAGGTGGCGTTTTGCGCGTCGTGTGTGCGCCCACTCGTTCGATGAGAGGCAGCATGTGCCTTCACGTTTTGAGCATGCCCGAGGGTGATGCGCTTGACTGACTTGAGGTCGAGTCTGACATCATGGGCTGTACACCCGTGCGTGCAGATGTGTGTGGCCAAGGGCTTGATGCTCGTCTGGATGGGCTTACCGGTCTTCACATCATGAGTCGCATTGCTCATGGTGTTCGTGTTACTGACCGCACCTTGATAGACCGTTTGTAGGATGAGTTCGGTACCCATGTGGCAGGTCTTGTGGTGCCACTTTATGATGTTTGCCTTGTGCGTCATCGTCTTAGCCGCCAGCGCTTCGAGTGAAAACTCATCAGGATCCATGGAGAAGTCTGCGTGCGCTACGAATGCTCACATGGGAGCATGTGGGATCGACTCGATGACGTAGAGACCGTCCGTCTTGTGCGCTAGGCCCGTTGTCTTGCTGTTGCAGGTGATTTTGCAGGCGTCGCTGTGGAACGTGAGGGTCTGACCTCATTCGGTGAGTCACGAGGTGGAGAGGAGGTTGCCCTGGAGCTGTGGTACGTAGTATACATCCTGTAGCAGCGTCGGGGTTGTACATCCGTCGTCGGTGGCTAAATCAAGGTAGATTTGCCCAATACCTTCTGTGTGAACGCACCGTCCGTCTCCGAGCCAAACGCGCTTCGGTGAGGTAAGGTTCGTGAATTGAATGAACCAGTCACGGCGTGAGCTCATGGATGCTGTTGCACCTGAGTTGAGAATCCAATGGTTGGTGGGTAGGCTGCGCTGCATGAGCGCATGGGTGATGAACAGTCAGAGGATGGGGGACACTGTGGTACCCCAGGTGGACATGACCTTCGCCGTAAGGTCTTCACTGTCATCGCTACCCTCCTCCTCCTCCTGCTTCTCCTCATCTCTTTTCTTCATTCAGCATTCCTCCTCTGTGTGGTTCAGCTTGTGGCAATAGCCACACTTCTTGCTGGATTTCAGCTGCTTCCCATTCGATTTCGATGTTGACGGCATATCTGACAGCTTGGCGGCAAGTGCATGCTGCGATCCCTCCTTGAGGCATTCGCACTCTTCGGTAAGGATCTGGTTTGTGACCGTCTCCATGGTGAGCTTGTCGCTTGTCGACATGAGGATGGTGCGAAGTACTGAATACGATGGAGGGAGCGATGTGACCATGGCGACCGCGATCAGCGAGTCTTCGAGTGGCTGTCTGAGGGTGGCCAGAATGTTGGCCTTTTGGACCATGCCATCGAGCTGTACCTCCATACCGGTCTCATCAGAGAGGGTACCACGGAATAGTTCACCGATGAGGTACGCTATAGTCTGTTTCCCCTTCCCCTCATACCACGTGGTGAGTTTGTCCCATACAGACTTCGCCGTCTTCTCGTACATGATGCCGCTCAGAGGCGTATCTTTGAGCATGAGCGTGATCTGCACCTTTGCATCTTGATCCTTGTCATCCCATTCAGCCTGCTTGTCAGGTTCAGAGTCTGAAGGTTGAGCTTCCTTACCCTGGGTGATGTTCCAGAGCTTTCTGATGCGTAGCACTGTCTCGAGACGAAACTTCCATTGCTGGTAGTTTGCTCCATCATCCTCAAGGAATGGTATGTCGTAGAGGCAGTTTGAGCCCAGAGAGAGTTTGACAGATTTGGACATGGCGTGAGAGGGTGTGGAGTGAGAAGGTGTAGACTGTGGTGCAGGAGGTGCTGATGTGGGTGCTGGTCGAAGAGAGAAGGTTTAAAGGAGTGTGAGCACAGTGGAAGCTTAAATGAATGGACAGGTTAGTGTGTAGCTGCGGAGCTCATAACCTATTGTCCGAGGGTGTAGGTTTACGAGGGCTGTAAGACATGTAGGAATGAGTGACTCAGCCTCGATGTATGATGTGAGTGCTATATAAATACCTGTAAGACACGTAGGAACGAGTGACTACAGTGTATGAGTAAAAGGTATGTTGTTATGAAGCGTTCCCTGCTAGAACGTTCAGAACCACGTGTGCTTTCTCACACGTACTAGTCCACA